TTAGTTAAATGATGTGATTGCAAAAATAGGTCAGCCTCGGAGACCTTGTCCTTTGATTTTAAGGTTTTGCCAAAGATTTCTTGAAGAGATGGAATCTTTTGAAGAAAATATTTGTTCGACTTCCTTAATTGTGTTAGAAGCAATAATTGTTTCAAGTTCAATACGGAATAAAGATTTCAACATAAAGATTTTTTAGTAAAAATCCTTATCGCCTCATGTACTATTACCTTTTATTATTCTTTTAGAGACAAATCCCCATGATTTAGAGGTACCGCATAAAGTAACTAAACATCTAATGGGTTCTTACCCCTCTACATAGAGAAAGAAGGAGGAAGAAAAGAAGTCTTCTTGATCTTTGGGCCTATCGAACCAATAGGTTTTAAAATTACTATTGTGGTTCTTTCATTAGGTTTTAAAACCATCGTTGTTGCCTTCTTTTGTCGATCAACGTACTTTTTGAGATAACTCCTCTTTGTTGAATCTATTAAAGAAGAAAAAGGCAAAAAAAGTTTCATTTTCTTTAAATTGCCTTTCTTCATCGAGCCTATTTTAAAGAAAAGTAAATCAAGTAAAAAAACATTTGTCAAAAATCTATTGATATAGAAAAGGTGAAAGACTTATGAGTTCTTTCGGACGATTTAGTTTTAATTAATGGTAATCTTCTCACTATCGACGTACTACTAATATCATGGAACAATTTTTTTTCTATTTGCCATAGAGAAGTTGTTATCCCAAAATATCAACTACATCGTAGTAAACGAGGAAGTCACTTTAATATTTAGGCGATAACTATTAATATTTTGCACCTTGGCATAAGTCATCAATTCACTCTCGCAACCTACTTCGGAAATCTCGAATGTCTTTCCTCCGATTCCATGACTCGATTGATGGTTCAAATTAATAGTCTTGCCATCATTCGGATTAATCCAAATTACCAAACCCGCAGGTTGGCGTTATAGGCTTTAACGAACACCAAGTCTCCAAGAGAGTAAGTCAAGTATTAACTTACTAAGACCGCACTCCATACCGATTATTTGTCGAGTAGAAAACTATACCTTTTAGAGTAATTTATTTGAGCAAAACCACAACGAGTCCACGACTGTGCATATGAAATGGAATCCACTCTTCTAATACATTTCATCTATGCTTAGGGTTAAGGATGTGCCTCAAAGCGTTCGAAAGAGTTGGAGATTGATATGATACCTTATGCATAAGGGAGTGATCATACATATCTAGGTCTTCTTTAATAGATCGAGGTCGACCCAAAGTTGAAAAGTAAAACTCTTCCTACATCCGAACAAACCAAAGGGGATAAGATAAAGTCCGGAGCCTACTCGGTTAATGCATCATAAAGTCTTGTATATGCATAAATAAGAAGGATTGGCCCTATGGAGACTCTACTCATCCCATCAAGTGAAACTAAGTTGAAAGCCTAAGATAGAGAGGTTTTAATTGGCTTTTTTACGTCGAGCCAATAATGTATTTGTAAATCCATAATAAATAGAAATCAATCTCTTCATCGCGAGATATTTATACCCCTTTTTCGAGTGATTGACCGGTATCCATAAGCTTTGGAAAACCTATTCTTTTGGATTTTGAGTTCTATACCATTCTCTTTGAATGCCAAAGTCTAGCCGGTTGGATATAAACGAGTGATAGCCATAACATTAAGTAAGGTCATCGACATATGTCCTTTTGGGAAGTAGGATTGATTGATGTAGGGATTCCAAAAAGCAACCATTATAGCCACTAAGCCAGGATTTATAGTATAAGAATGGGTCTATAGAAGGATGCCTCATGAATTCCCATCGCATCTCATTTCTTACCTAATTGAGGGATAAGTCTCTTCTTAGCCCCGTCTTCGTATTTGGTGTCTAGTTTTGGCCAAACAACGGGGAAAGCCTTGGTAGATTAGATCCAATTTTGGAGAGTTGGGTAGAGTTCGGGGAAAAGAAAACACCGAGCATCAAAAGTCTTTGGAAAGACTATGTCGATCATTTCTAGAAGAACAACAACTTCGATGTTGATAGTAGGGCCTAACATTAGATAGAAAATTTTCTTTTAGTTTTTCTTATACCTAATCACAACATCGACGACATCACTACCGGTGATAGTTTCGAATAAACTCGTGTTAATTACACTTAGTTTCTCGAAAAGCCCATTCGGTTAATAGCAATCTCCCTAGAGTGTAACTTTCTCTTGAATGACTTTCTTCAAAGACTTAGTGTTTTCTTTTTGAGCCATTTTTTTGTAAATAGAATAAATGAAAGAGGAATTTAACAAAGGCAAAAGAAATGTTCGATAGAATGTCAAAAAAAAAAAGAAAAGGTTTTTTTATCTTGCAAAGTCTAGTAGAGGAGAAATCACATTAAAAGTAAAACTATTAAAAATCATTTTCTCTTTTATATGATATATTTTAAGGGTTATGATGGTTAAGCTTTGAGGTTTAACGGTTCAAATGTGGTAAAATAAAAAACTACCGATTGTTGGTTAACTAAGGCATGAAAGTAATTACAGTTAGCCATTTAAGAGATGGAACATCGCGTGATATCATCATGTTTGTCAACATTTGATGCTTGACCCATTAAAGAAAAAAATTTCATCATTTCATCTCTAAAGGGCTAAGAGTGGGGCATGTGTTGGCATCTCAAAATTTAAAAAGCCACACATCGATCAAGTGTAGTATCTTTTTACGATGAAATAGTAAGATATAAATAAAAGATGCATTTGGTCTTATAACTAATCAAGTTTCAATGAAGCACTCGAGATTTAAATGAAATGATACGTTTGGTCTTGTAACAAACCAAGTTTTAATGAAGTATTAAGACTTAAATGAAATGATGTGTTTGTTCTTGTAACCAACCAAGTTCCAATAAAGTATTAAGACTTAAATAAAATGATTTATTTGGTTTTATAACCAACCAAGCTCAACAAAACGAGTAAGACTTAAATGAAATGATGCATTTAGTCTTACAATTAGCCAAATTCGACGAGGCAATATGTCTAAAGGAAACGAAGGAACGATTACCAATAACCGTTCACGTCCCACTTCAAATCCAAGGCAATTATTAGTTGTGAGCTATTTAAAGAAGGGACACCGACGGAATTGAGACGGAATCACATACAAGACTTTTTCAACACAAATTTATTCGAGTTTCTAATTTACCCTATAACAATTAGTTTTTACATTCTTGCAAGTAGTTCGATACCTTTTACTACTTTCATTAGTTTCATTATTGTAACTTAGAAAGTGTTAATCCGTCATTGATAGTGGATAAATGGCTTCGGTGTTTCGATGACTAATGATGTAAGTGTCATATTTTTTTATTTATGATATTTATATTTTTTTTAGTGAATTTTGTCTCTTCCGATTAATGAAATTCTCTCCATCTTATGAATGTTATTTCTTCTAATTAATAGCCTTCCTTTTATTTTATCTTTTTCTTTAAATTGAGTACCCATGGAAAGTCCTAGTGGCTTTCTAGGTAAAACCGAACCCCATATTATTTCATCACGAAATTCTTAGTCATAAATTGAAGTTTCGATATACTCCACTTTGAGACCGAATTCGATGAGTCGTAACATCTTCATAATTAATGTATCACCATTAAATATATACCTGACTATAAAACACATTTTTCTACATTATTTCATAAAATATAGTAGTAAAGAATTTTTAGTAACTATAGCATTAATTTTATATTGAATGTACCTCTTAACTTTTGGTTATTTTAATTGTTAACGGTATTTAATTTATGGATCAATTTTTGTCTATAAAAACTAAATTCTTTAAGTACGAAACATATCATTCATATTTAATTGTTAAAGAGCAATATAAAACTCGTTTTTAAACTCTTATCTAGCATGTTAAATTTTTAAATTGAAATGATTATTTGATATGATACTAGAATCTTTATCCTAACGGCTAAATAAAGATTTTAAAATTCAAGTCACTTGATTTTCAAAAATGTATTGCAATTGGATGAGGGTATTAAAAAATATATATCTTACTTGGAATAAATAAATAATAAATGAGTTATATATATAAAGTTGAAAAATGACCGTATGTCATAAAATTTAATTTTTTTTTGTATAAATTTTAATTTGTTTTTGTTTATGGCAAAATATAATTTTAATTATTTAATTTAATATAATCTGATAGGAAAAAGTTAAAAGTGATTTTGTCATGTTTACTAGGCTTCATGGTTTTGGTTGTCAAGCATACAAACGATTAAAGAGAAGGTAGAACAATAATTCCAAAAGCTAAAGTGGAACGAGGTTTACTTATTCTTCTATGTGACACCAAGGTTAATCATTATTTTCAACCCTTTCCATTAGGAGTTAGCTAGTAATGTACTACTCCTCAACAGTGCTGACAAGCATGAACAGAAGCTTCCAAGTTGTTGTTGAATAAAAATAATCAAGTACTGGAAACTTAAAAAAAAAAAAGTTAAGGGCGGTTATTTCCACACGCAAAGGTAAATTTCCAACTTCGAATATGCTTTTTTTAAAAAAAAAAAGTTAAAAAGCTTATAGTCTAACGGTGATAGCCGATTTCAACAAAGAATTATAAGTTTAAATTCTAATAAATTAGTTTTATTAGAAATATTGAATGTTGTGTAAATTTTTAAAAAAAAATAAGAAGAAATGATACATTTTTTGCATGTTAATAAGATACAAAATAACATTTGCGTTCAATATCTATAGCAAATTAATTACCCTTTCAAGTTTTTTTCCTAAAAAAAAATTAGTGGTTAGAATATTCTCACACTAATTTTGTAAATCAAAACTATACATGAGCCTTTCAAGTTGGATATATTAGGGATTTTTTTTGGTAAAATATCTTTAAAATACATGTGTTCTTCTTTTTTTCTTACGTTCACATGGAAGTATTTATGAGAACCAGTAATGGGCATAAAAGAAATACATGCATGCATGCATCAAAAACATTTTTTTAAAATAGCAATAATGATTTGATGCCAAAATTCAAAGGAAACTACCCTGCAGAGCAGAGACTTCCCGCTTGGCCGGCTGCTGAATTTGATTTAATCAAGAAGACTAAATTAAAATGATAAAGAAGTTGTTTTCGACTAAGCAAGGGTACGCCTTTTCCGTCAGTGTGAAACTTAAACGAGAAAAATAAATAAACAAAAGAACTTTTACTAATTTTGAAAATACTGTCCAAGGGGGATGCACAAGAAATTTAAAGACGTTCGAAAGAGTTAGCCATTTTGGTACTTTAACTTATTCAAATTATATTTTACCGGTGAAAAGTTCAATGGATTGGTAGGAATATAGAGACATAGGCCACGTGGCCAAAACTTGGCAGCCAAGTGCAATCAAATGTTATCGACGACTTGCGGGTGTGGTCTTTGTCCATGTGGCCGTGTTTTTTTCTTTTTTCCTTCTTCTCTTTTTCTCTTTTGTCACTTATTTGAGTCCGCACCCACATTTCAGAATGAGAGAGATTACGCAACATATAGTGATGGATGATATTTTAATTTAAAATTTCAAACTCTATGTATATGTATATATATATATTTCAAACTTTTTTTGTCGTACGTCACATTCTTCGTTCTCATGTGAATCTCAACATGGCGTCTATCAACGTACCATGTATCCTCACGCGGTCTCTCTCTACGTAGCACATATATAAATTCCCCTTAAGGCCCAAAAGTCTATTTTCTGAAAACAAAAGACAAACACAAATTAAATTCTCTTTCAAGTCGCAACCATGGACTAGCTCCCAGCTGCTCTGATCAGATGGCCATTTTAGTTGGTTTGAGAGTATTCATGGTGTTCATGATGGTTTTTGTGACTTTGATTATAATAATTCTGCCACCGTTGTTGCCACCGTTGCCACCGCCACCTTCAATGTTTCTCTTTCTGCCAGTTTTGATGATGTCTCTTCTTCTTCTCTTAGCATTCTCTCCAGTATCTCAAAAGACACCTGACTACACCACCCTTGCCAGTTTAAGTGTTTAACTCATACAAGCATGCATGGAAATATATATATATATATTGAAATGAAGGTTAGATCGATCAATGCAGGAGGGAGCAGCTCCAAGAACCAAGGTGCACTAAAAAAGTGTAGTACTACTACTTCCTCCCAGTTCTTATATTTCTTCTTTTACATTTATGTAATGATCACTTCAAAGTTCAAAAGGAATTTGAAGTTAATTGTATACAGTTTGTTTATTTTTTCAATTTGATAGAATTATCTTTAATTTTTTTTTTTTTTTTTAAATTGAAATCAAGAAGTACCCATGATCATTGCATATTTTATGATGAAAGTAAGAAAGAAAAGAGAAGGTGAAGGAAAAAAAAACAGTGAGCCAAATTCCATTTTCTTCTTCTTCTTTATGTCCATTTTAAGATCTTAACCTAAGAAAGCAAGTGGGTTCATCTTTTTGGGGTCCGACCCGACATGAAAGTTTTGCAAGCTTTACAGGCTACAGCTAGCCAGTAGCCACCTGCCAGTCACCGGTATGTAACATTGAAAGATCCTCACGAATGTTCATCTGCGGGGTTTAATGTCATTATGGCTGAGAAGATCCTTATAGTTTCGATTCTATCATATTGAGCCTCATTAATTATTCCAAAAGCGTAACTAGGTCCCTAAATTTGAATTTGCGGATTCTTCCATCCAATTATGTCACTAATTTCCGTTAAAAGTGAATGGACGCCGTCAAATTTGTTGTTCGACGTTCAAATTTCCCAACTCATTGTTCAATTTCTGAACCTATCAAAACCTACTGAACACCATTCTTAAGGTTAGAATTTTATTTTTAACAGAAAAACTATATGTACGGATCAATTGACACATACGATTGTTATATTACATGTAATTGAATTATCTTACGGATTTATTAATTGATTCGTACTATTTTTATATTATAATTATTTGATTAATCAGAGTTTTTTTTTTTATCAACGTAAGTTATAATTAAGTCTTTGTTTTGAATCAATTTAGTTAATGTAGATTTTTCATTAATAACATGTTATAGTTAAAACTAGTTGGATACTCGCACTATATCGTAGACGGACAACCGTTATATGCATAGAATTAACGATTCGTATGGTGTAATATAAGTAGAAAGTTTTATTTTTTATGATTAATATAAATCGAATCTATATATAGTTAATTTCTAACGAAATTAATGACATATATATATAACGATTCACAATATGTAGAATAAATAAAAAAAAATCACCTAAATTGTAGAAATATATTAAAGTCAATAGATTAAAATAAAAACTTCAACAAAATTGGTTTTGATAAATTCTAAATAAATATATATAAAAAAGAAAATAAAACTTGTAAAATTTTTGAACTTATTATTGTTTTTTTAAAAAAAAATTGAGTCAAACCATCTAAAACATATTTTTAGTTCTCTCTCTCTCTCTCTCTCTCTCTCTCTCTCTCTCTCTCATATATATATATATATATATATATATATATATATATACACACACACTCATTTAAAAATATAAAAATAATTTATTATATAAATTATAATGATATATTTTTAAAAAATAAAACATTAACGTTCTAAAATTTTATTCCAAAATTCATATATTAAAAAACCAAATTTATTAACAAATAAAATTAAATCAAAAAATTAAAAAATTAATATAATGAGAAATTTAATAAGAAACAAATAATTGAAGAAAAAAATTTTAAACAATAAGAATAAAATAATCAAATATGTATGTTAACATTAATGTCAAAGATATAATTAATATTGGCTCAAGGACATTAAAGAGACCAATAATATATATGTTTTTCTTTCCCGATGAAGGGACCAGTTATATATGATCTGTTTAACATGTACATCACTTGCTGGAGATCCAGTTATGCTATAACAATATGTATATTCTTTTAAGGATTTCTTTTTGTCTCTTGGTGATCCAATCCTAAAACATATCAAGATTTAAAATAATTAGCCAACTTTTTTTTTTTTTGTTCTATCATGAGATTTGTGACTAGACTTTTAAAAATATAAAATAAATTATATGAAGAAAGAAAAAAGAGTATGGTCGTACTTGGTTGGTATATATATTGTTTAAAAAAAATTAAGTCAAATTAATTTTTTAACTAATTATTATTTTTAAAAAAATTAAGTCAAATTATCTAAAACATACTTTTAGCCTCTCTCCCTCATCGGAATTTATATATGTAATTATGCTACATTTATTTAAAAATCATAAAAAAATCAATCATATAAATTATAATAATATATTTTAAAAAATAAAACAATTCAGTTCTAAAATTTTATTTCAAAATCCATATATAAAAAATCAAATTTATTAACATATAAAATTATATAAAATTAAAAAATTAATTCGATGAGAATTTTAATAAGAAACAAATAATTGAAGAAATAAATTTTAAATAATAAAAATAATATAATCGGATATATGTTTAAACTAAAATTTTTAAAAATATTATATATATTCTATTATCATAAAAATTTACACAAAACTAAAAAAATAACAATCTTTTTTATATTTTCACACCTAATTTCGTGATAAAAATATAAAAATAAATTATTAGAAGGGGGAAAAAAAAAAAGAGGCAAACACTCGGTTGGGACTACTTGTGCGGGCTCGCTTCTCAAGGCCGATCCTAAAAAAAATAATAAAAATAAAAATAAAAATGTTCTCCAAGCTAGCCTTAAAAAAAACTATAGTAAAATGAGTCAAGCTAGTCGTTGGAGCCTCGCTTCTCCGAGCAAGAATTAAAAAATAAAAATAAAAAGCTACAAGTAAATGAACAGGGAAAACACTAGTTCTTTTATTTTTTTTAAATAATTATAATATTTAAAACACACTTCTAGCTCTCTCTTTTTATTAGAATTTATATGTGCAACAACGTCATTTTCATTCAAAAATCATAAAAATAATCAATAATATAAATTACAATAATATATTTTAAAAAAATAAAACAATCGAGTCCTAAAATTTTATTTCAAAAGCCATGTATAAAAAATCAAATTTATTAACAAATAAAATCATACAAAATTTAAAAATTAATTCGATGATAATTTTAATAAAAAATAAACAATTGAAGAAATAAATTTTAAATAATAAAAATAATATATATATATATATATATATATATATATATATATATATATATATATATATATATATATATATATGTTCAAACTAAAATTTTAAAAATATCATATATATTCTATTACTCGTCAAACTATACGTAAAATAAAAAAAATAACGATCTTTTTTTATATTTTCACACCTAATTTCATGATAAAAATTATAAAATATATATTTATATAGAAGGAGAACAACTGTAATCGATATTTAAATAAATTATTTATTAATAAATATTATATTATTATACCAATATATTTAAAATAATATTTAACTAATATAATGTAGTATTAATTTAATTATATGGTATAATTATCAAATATATTTATTACTAAAATACTTATTAATATATATATATATATATATATATATATATTCAAATTCATAAAATAATATATCAATATATTATTTATATCATAATATAAAATAATAACAAAATATTATATTTTATAATAAATACATGATCCACAATCAAAATACAAATAACTATTTTATAATAACTATTTGATATTTTTTGTAAAATATAATGATAATTTATTATGATTAACTATAAATAATTTTATTATTTTAAAAAAATATATTTCTAATAAATAAGAACCTAAATAATATATTTGACCATATAGTCATAGTCCTACAAATATATAAACTGAAAAAAAAACAATGACGTTAGATGTTAAAAAACAAAAAAGCACTCGCATAAATACAATATTCACAATCAAAATGCAAATGACTATTTTATAATATTTATTTGATATTTTTTGTAAAATATAATGATAATGTATTATAATTATTAACTATAAATAATTTTATTATTTAAACAAAATATATTTCTAATGAATAAGGACCTAAATAATATATTTGACCATATAATAATAGTCCTACAAATACAAAAACTGGAAAAAAAAAAAAAAGAGGCCAAACGTTAAAAAACAAAAAAACACTAATATTTTTTTATAAAATATAATGATAATATATTATAACTATTAACTATAATAATAGTCCTACAAATACTTTAATAGTTGGGAAAGAGGATAAATCAGTCAACAAATTATATTATCTCCAAGGCAATGAAGGTTGCATAGTCTATTCATTGGAATGGAGAACGATGTATGGGTGAAGAAGTTAATATCTATCATTGGATCTGAAAAAATGTATGGCATTAAAAAAAAAAAAAAAAAAAAGGGAGGAGGAAGCTGCATGCAGTAAACGAAAATGGCCAAAAGGATAAAAAAAAAAAATTAGTTTTCAAACCAAAGGGACTAATTAATTTATTCCCCAAAGAATTATTTTTTTTCTATTTCTTAAAAGAAAAAATAAAATTAGTAAAATGGGGAAAGAAAAAATAAAAATAGTAAAATGATGAAAAGGATAAAAAAAAATTAGTTTTCAAACCAAATGGACTAATTAATTTATCTCTTGAAGAATGAGAGACTAAGATGCAAAAAATATACATGAATAGAGACTTTGAGTATATAGCTACGAGTGAATGAATAGGAGCAACTCCACTTCTTTTAGTTTTTTTTTTATATATATAATTAACATAAACCTAACAAAAGGACCATTTAGCCATTAATTTTTCATGAATTTTCTTTTTTTAAAAAAGAAAAAAAGTAGATAGGCTTATTTTCAATATTGTGTTAAAGCTCGTTCAAAAATACAATATATATAATGACCACAAAATAAATATCACTAATTAATTATGACTCTTCCTTGTGCAAAATCCATGTAATTAAACCATTTAACGTACGTGATTCAGTCAAGGTTACCTATCTTCATGAACTACGATTATTATTAAATAATAATACAAATACAATAAATCTTTCCAAGAAATAAGCTC